GTTTGTGTGATCAGTTGGAATTTAGAGAATGAGTGTGGGGTAAAAATAGAATGGCAGTTAATGCAGCTAGCCATTAAATACATTCACATACCAACAAAACTTCTCCTTCACCAGTGATCCCCTTCTGGACCCTGAGAATTTTCATCCCATTAGTAACTCACTGGGATGGAAGTAGCCTTTGAGGAGACAAAACATTAAAAATGGAATTATCTCTTAACAGTCAGCACAGTAGGTTATTTATTCTGCTTTGGTGTATATCATGCTGAGCTTTGGTGCGGGCGTCTACTGTTGGGGGTAGTTTATAGAGCATTGCAAGGACTAAACGATGGGATGGTTATCTATCATCCCATCTCTCACTGTCTCCAGGGAGATGCTAATATCTCTGTTGATGCAAAATGAATGTTGAAAGCCAGGCTAAAGCTATTGCCAGAACCACTGGATAGAGGCTTTTACTTACGAAGTTGTACATTGTACAATAATATGCCTATGTGGTACATTTCCATTTATCAGTGATTTCTAGTTTTTAGAAACTCACGTCCTCAATATATGAAGATAAAAATAGCACACTGTCTCAAATATCATCCTTTCTATCATTGATAAGTATGCTTTTCTGCATATCTCCACTAACCAAAAGAAGTTAACTAACTTTACCATCTTTAGAAATACTAGTAGCACTCACATTATTTCAGACATATGTGGAATCTTAAATGTCTGAGTTCACAGAATTAGAGAGTTGTACTCAGAGGCTAGAGAGGGGAGAAGAAGATGAAAGGAGTTTGCTTGTTGAATACAAAGTCACAGCCAAATTAGAGTAATATATGTTGGTGTTCCATTAGAGGATAATTATAGTTAACAATATTGTATAATATAATCTGAAACAACTAGCAGAGAGGATCTTGAATGTTCTCATCACAAAGAAATGATAAATTTTGAGATAAGGGATTGCGTTAAGTATCATGAGTTGATCAATACATAATGTATAAAGTACCAAAACATCACACTGTTCCCCATAAAATGAATAGTTATTCTGTCAAAACTTTAAAAGAGAAATAGTAACAATATTAAAATATTTATAAATAAATTTCCAAGATTAAAATTTATGGAAATATGTAATATTTAGTATTCTAAGCTACATAGAGCACTCTCCGATTTCTGATCATCTTTTCTTTTTTTCCTTTACCCTCCTACATCCTCCTTGAGAATCTCTGACAGATATAATGATCTTCTTTAATCACCTCAGACTAGTATAGTTCTTAAGAATGGCCAGTTACTAATTGCTCACGTCAGAGTTTCTTAACTTGGCTGTATTGATATTTGGGTCCAAATAATTTGTCTTCATGGAGGTGGCCCTATGTATTGTATGATGTTTGACAGCAGCCCTAACTCTACACACTAGATGCTGGTAGCCACTGACAACCAAAAATGTCTCCAAACAATATCACATGTCCCCTGTGGGCCTATTCTCTGGTTGAGAATCAATGGCTTACCCTGTATCGCACAGTATTTCATTTGGTTCAACAGTAACTGCAAGTAGCATAGGACTGCATTAATAACGGTTGTTGCTGGGAACAGGGCTGTGCAGCTCAGGTCACAGACATTCATGAGAGACTACAGAAATGAGTAGGTTTAAAGGAAACCTGCTTAGGGATGGGAAGGGACCCAAAAAAATAGCAATAGCAGGAAGCCATTCTCACTCACAAGGCTCAAGGAGAAAGGAGAGGAATCTTTCTTAGTGACCTATAGCCATGGAGCAGGAGCTCAAGGCGGAAGTGAGGTTGTGAAGATGCAAAGCTTTGGCCTGTGTTGAGCACCTTAACAGGGAGAGTGCCAGACATCCTGGCCCCTCCCGCCTCCTTAACCCTTTCCTCACCAGCCTGTCCTGTCAGTGAGTTGAGTCCAGATGAAATCCAATCACTCTTGCAAAGGTGAAGAACGATGCTGCTCAAGGATTCAGCTGCCATGGGCTGAGAGAAGGAAGGAAAATAGAATCAGTTAGGCAGATGGAGAAAACCCAGAGAACACCATCCCCATTTTAAGATGAAATATCAAGTAATTCACTCAAAGCCAGATGGCTAATGTGTGGAGCAGAGATTCAAATGCACATCTGTTTGACTGCAAGCTTTACCAAGAGAGCATCATATCTGGTTTGCCTGAATGAACTCACGTTCAGTGAGACTGGGAATCATTTAAGGTTTTTTATTTTAGTAGAAGGTAGATACAAGACTAGAATCCAGTTCTCATTCCTATTCTGATGGTTTTCTTTTCCTTACACTGGCCACTAAAATAAATTTAAGACCTATATATCCAATCTTTTCTCAGACAAACATAGGTTTAGAAACTATCTGCTGCCCTTAAAAATCATTTCTTTATGAAAGACTTATAGAATTCTAGGTTTCATATAGAGTGTTAAATTTTGGCCTACCCGTTTTTCAAAGCTGGCATCGCATTTTTGTCATGATTGCATACACTGAGCCCCAGCTTGTGCAGTGTGTTAGGAGAAGGAGAAGGACAGGATTGAGAATTGGGAGATTTGGAGCCCAATCCTGGCTTGACCAATCCTAGCTATTTAACTTGCATCAATAATGCGAATACTATAAATTTCATAAACTTTTGCTTCCCTTTCATGTTCACCCAGCTCTTCCGTAATTTTCAGGTATTTGATTGGGTGGTCACAGCTCTGAAGTCAGGAATGTATTAGACAGTTTCACAGATGAAGAATCAGGCTCAGAAAGCACTTGAGTTTCCCTGAAATTTCTGAAGCTGGGAAAGGATGCCATGTATACTCAATCTCACATCCTCTCACAGGATGTGCACTGCCTTCTCTACCTCACCCAGTGCCTTTTGAAGTGGTTAATTAACTTACTTCCTCAGGACAGCCACTGTGTAGCATTTAGTCCATTGGGTTTCATCATAAAGTCACGTCTAGACCTAAGCCTGAGAATATGTAATTTTGGTCCTAGGATTATAGGCAGAGCTGCAAAGGATGCTAATATATAGTTAGCACTTAGGAACTCCCAATTTCTCATTTTTCTTTTATAAGTTTTAGAAGAATATATTTATTATCTATAGCTTTTCAAGGGTAAGATTGATATTATTAAAGGGAATTTTAAAATGAATGTATACTGGAACACAAATCTGAATAGGTTAACATAGTCCCATTTTCTCACTTTAATCCAGAGCATGCTGGGTGTTAGTAATCAAGGTTCAGACTTGGGCACTGCTTACCCCCTTTAGCTCAAGGTGGCATCCCAGCAGATGACACATTTCAGTATTCTGTCTCCCTGAGAATCTTGTTCTCTATCATGATAGCTTCCTGATCTCTTGATTTTCTGCTTTTACAATATTTTCAGGCCCCCAATTTTTATTTTTTCAATATTTTCTAGCATGAAGTCAGGCATACAACATAATAAAGTAACTTGTTTTACTTTTTGTGTCTGAGCTTAATCTTTTTATTTCACTTGTATTTCACATAGCCAATTGCAAGAAAACCTATAATGTAAGAGTTCTTAGTCCAAGTTCAAAGCTACAGAGAAAGGAAAAAGAGAAGAAAACAGTAAAAATGGTGCATGTGTGTTTGAACTCTGAAAGTAAGAAAGTGGGGGCATGATTGTATGCTCACTTTTATATCTTTTTTTATTACCGAGAATCGAACTCAGGACCTTGCACTTGTGAGACGGGCGATGGAATCACTGAGCTAAATCCCTGGCCCTATTTTTGATATCTTTTGTAGTCAGGCAAAAAATTGTAAATTTCTTGAAAGAAAATATGTTCACTGATCAAAAAAAAATCTTGCTACATTATAACATATTATCACTGTAGATAATTAGCGGTTCTTTAGAAAAACTATCTTGCAACTTTACTGGTGTTCATCCATAAGGAAAGGTTGGGGAGCGGTATCTTCAATATTTATAGGAATAGACCAAACTTATTGGGTACAAATCCTAAATTCATCCCCTTTTTCCTCTATAACCTTGGCCAAGTTACCCTCTATGGTTTGGTTTCCTCATCAATATTATCACATTACAATGGTATCTATACCCTATGGAGTGTTTTTATGGTTAAACAACTTAATAGGAAGAAAACATAATACTTATGCATAGAAAACATAATAAACTATTCATTGTTATCAACAATATCCTTTCTGCTATTACTGGCATCATTATCATCAGCTTCAACACAGAGCCCCAATCCAAAGTTTCCAGTCTCCTAGCAAATACTTATTTAAAAACTTAATAAGTGATTAACTATAGAGCTTCACTCTTTCGAATAATTTAGCCAAAAAATAGCAACTGTGTACAAATAACATACATTTATATTTTGAAACATACAGCCTAGTTCCTAACTTTCAATTCTAAGACTTGGTCAGCTTTCCTTTCTAGCTGATGCTGGCCTGGAGACTTGGTAAGGTTCATCATAGGGATTCCAAACATCTTGACATTATTAAGCTCTGTTTTCCTAGGGTTCTAGGTTTGAAACTACTGACAAAGAATTATTCCAGGAGTCAAAATTAGATATAAATTATATGCTATAGAGGTGTCTTCTTATTACCAGGGGTCAGGTCAGAGTCTCAAAAGTCACATTAAGTTACTGTTTGGAGGTTATTTAGTTTCACTCAAGAGAATTGAGGCCTGACAATAAAGTGTAATAAATCTTAGTCTGGCCCAAACATAATTAGTGATTAAATGTACCATTAATGATCCCAGTTCTGCTAGAAAAAGTAAGTAGAAAATGTATTTTTGCTCCTTTTTCCACTTTCATATTTAGATTGTAAACTTTTCACATTTAGATAGTAAAACTTTTCACATTTAGTAAAAATGATTACTATACTTGTCTGTTTAACTAATTTAGCATCAATGCCTTATTTATATGCTTGGGATTTTAATTTGAGAATGAGAAGGGACCAAGAAAAGGTTAGTTGTTTTTTGTTTTTTTTTTTAACGCAGGAGCAGTTGGCTCTCTATTTTTTAATTTTTATCTATTTTCTTTGTCTCAATCCCCAGCCTCTGAGCCCAACTTGAAGGTGCGGTCCAGGTTAAAACAGAAAGTGACAGAGAGGAGAAGCAGCCCCTTACTCAGGCGGAAGGATGGAAATGTTGTCACTTCATTCAAGAAGCGAATGTTTGAGGTGACAGGTAATTGAGGATTGGGCAGTCTTACACTAACAAATGCTGGTAGTAGGGACAAAACAATAGGCTAGACTAAATATACCTGCTGTATATTAAAAGTTATTGTGAGGAAAGGTAATTTCTTGATAGAAAATTTTATTGAAAACCTACAAATAGTTCAGTAATCCTTGCTATGTTTTCACGAACTGTGTTAAACAGGAAATGAATGAAGAGAAAAAACCCTATGTGTCAGTTAAGGCATAACTAGGGGACACCAATGCTCACCTTATTCTTCTCAGAAACAGGCAGTCCATTTTGAGAATGCCAACCAGGACAATATAACTTGTAATGAAATCTGATCAGAAATGAACCGAGGGAGGTCCAAGAAGAGCACTTCCCCCCTGTTTAGACGTGAATGTGCAAAATACACCTGGGAAAATTAAACTATGTGGAACAGCAAAACTTTGACTTTTCAACAAATTTACAGAACTCATAAATGACTTTATGTGTTTACTAGTGATCTGGGACTTATGGCAGGAGGGGGATATATTGCTTTTTATGAAGGGGAAGAAACTCACTTTCACTAGTCTCAAATGGAAGAGTTCATATTTTTTTAGCTGCCTGGTTAGGAGTGAGGTGAACAGGTTAGGAAATTCAACCTGATATCTTACAAATCCTTTTAGTCCCAGTTGTACCTGGTTTGAAATTAGAGCACGCCTAATAAGAACCAAAAAGTTCTGACAAAATAGTACTGACAACTGTTTATGGAGTACTTGGAGCCATGCACTGTTCCTAGTCATTTGCTTGGTTGCATCATCAAAGAAGTAGGAATCTGCAACCAGTATTCTCCACTCCCAAAGAGAATTGTACTTACACCAGTGGAGTCAGTTGGTACTAATTCTATAAGATCAGATCTTATTCTTAGTATATTTTTTAAAAATTCTTTTTCTGTATTTCTTTTGACCATGACAGTTTCTAGTTCGGGATGACTTTATAGGGGAATATTGTGAAAGTGGAGATGAAAATGTATATTTAAGTACAGAATACTAATGCAACTTAAAGATTTGACAGGTTTTAAAAGAATGTGTAGTCTCCTATACAATTCCAATAGATTGGTGTGCTTGTGTGAAAAAATGTTACTGATTATAATGGGAATTTTTTTCCTTAAGGGATAAGGAATATTTAAAAAATGAACAATAAATAAAATTATTTTACTACAGTTTACCCTTATTTTCTAATATCGGTATACTCAGTAATTTATAGCAGTTTAATTCTAAGTTTGAAAATATAGACTTTTTTCAAGCAATATTATTGTATATTAAATAGGTAAAAATGGTAAGTTTGCCTACATGAAGTCTTTGATAGAATTGGGAGGTGAAGAATAAATCTATTTTAATGACTGCCAAAGAATAATATGCTAATTGTGTAATATAAATGCAGGTAGGTGGGTTTTTAATTGGAGAAAGTAGGGTCCCACTAATGGAAAAACTTGAAGAAAGAAATAAAGACATATATTGCTGTTTTTTTCTGCTTTGTAATCTCAGTATCTAAGGTCATATATATTTATACTGATATTCTTTCCTACTTTCTCATTAATGTTTTTTTATCATAACTTTTTCTCTACATTCATTTTTCCCTCCTTATAAATTGCAGTGGAATTTAGCTGAGTGTCTATATGAATGATTAGTTCTCATTCATAAATGTTATCATTTGCCAAAGTTTTACTTGTGTTTCATTTTATTTAAATATTATGTTTTATTTCTTAATATGACATTTAATGTAATACGTGAAGAAATTATACATGTACATATACAAAAGCACTCTTCATTTTTCTATGAAAAATAAAACAATATCATGAAAAAATAATTAGAAAAGAACAATAGTTAATACACTATGTCACATAATCAAAATGACCAAAATTCTACTCAGAGTACAAGTCATAGAGACAAAAAGACTTTTGCAAAAAAAAAAAAAAAGATAAAATCATAAAACTTTCTTTTTAATGAACATTTCTTAATTTTGTGTAATAATGACTCCTCTCTTCACCTCAAGAAATAATAGGTGTTTGAAGAGAGCCTTGTGCTGGTATTGGACACACAGTACTGGCCTGAGCACTGGTACTTGGGATGCTTTGGTAGATGTTTTCATTGGTGTGCAGTACTTAGCCTAAATGCCTTTGGCAACTCTAAACTACTGATGCAGAGCTGTCTTCATCTGTTTTCCTCCCATTTCTCTGCTAAATTCCATCTCATTTGGATAAGCTGTTTGTGTCTTAATACTAAACATTACTAGAATGTAGTTGGAAACCATCTTGTTACCCTGACAGTAGAATTGCTCTTGTGTCATCATTTCCCGCTTTATCTTTCATCCCCATTTCATGCATTTACATCTGTGATGTAATCTAATAGTTGATATGTGGAAACCACTTAACATCTTCCTGTTTTTCAAGATTCAGGTGTTTCATGCTGCCACAAAACCTTCTTCTTTTAATATTCTAAGCTTCATCTAATTCCTGTGCCTGCGGTGCTTTCTGCCCCTGCTCCATCACACTCATTTCACAAACTACTCTTCTTCAAGCTCCAGCTCTAAACCACTCCTTCTGTGGGATTTATTTTAGGGTTCCCAGAAAAGTAATCGCTATCTCCTCCAGATCCTGTCCAGTGTAATGCAGTGTAATCCTATTACAGTAAAATAAATACAAAATAATGTAAGTTATAAAATTTAAAATTGGTAAGAAAGAATGTTTAAGAAAATATTTTTAAAATATGGAAATGTGACATTAATGAGAAATCATATTTAATCATACTGGAAAGGCAAGTCAGAGAAAATAATTTTCTATAAGAATTTTTTTAAATGGCAAAAAGTAAACAAGACAGGCAAATAGGAAAAAAAAGATTAATCAAAATATAAGTAAGATGTACAGTCAGAAGGGAAGTGAGCAAGGCATGTTTAAGCATTTTGTATATGAATAATCTGCTAAAATGCTACAAAAAATATGTAGCAGGATCAGAATTCTCTCATTTGTTTCCAGTGATGCTGCATTTCTGCATAGAGAAATACTTATGAAAAGAGTTGAGTCATATGCTGTTTAGAGGGTAGGCAAGAAGTACTGTATAGTCGAGATTGGGAGTCCTGTTCTTTGGGCTACAGATGATAATATGAGTTAAACTTGGAGTTTACAAGTGGAGTTGGCCTTGCAGTGGAGTAAGTGGAAGAAAATGAGGATAAAAAAGCATGAAGTGCTGAAGAGTAAGTGACTTGAATTTCAGTGAATATGGAAAGGGCAATGGTAGGTAATAACAGCCGGCTCCATTTTGGAGCAGAGGGACATGGTGAAAAGTCGTCCCAGTAGAAGGATTCTTCAGGCAAGAGTTTGGAAGAAAATTTTGAGAGACTATTGTAGTGACTCAGGAATGTTAAGACATATGAGAGTTTAAAGCATAAAGCTTTAAACTGAAATGAATGTAGTGAGACATACATAGAGATAATATAAAGAACAAATTGAAAAGGCCTAGTAACTGATTAGGATGAAGAAGGGAGTAAAGATGACTTTAAAACTGGTGGTAGAATAAGGAGGAAAGCAGGAAACATTTAATATTAGAATTCATTGAGTTTAGCATGCATATAATGTCCAGCATACCAGAGGAATTCAGGCTGAAATTTATGAACACTGAAGGCAAGAAATATAAATTCCATGAGGGTATACTGCCTAAAAGTGACATACAAAGTTACAAGATTGAGTGACTTTGACAGAGTGATAGAGAAAAAAGGACAAGGCCACCAATTTGTGAATGTGTTTAGGGATTGGTAAGAGGAACAGTCAGAAAGACAGAATGATAAATGTGGAAACAGATAATGACTGTATGAGGAACTTGGAGGATGAGGACTGTTTTGTCAAATTTGATGGTACTTGAGAGAACAGTTGCAGTTGATAATGAGTAGGCCATATTGGCAGGGCTTGAATGAATGAGTAGGCATTGTGAGAGCTCACTGCTTATCAAGAATTATTAACATGCTGCCATATGGGGGCAAGGGGCAGTCCCAGTGGAGAGGGAGGAGGGACTGAAGATACCAACTAACTGACGAGCAAAGTCCTGAAACAGTATAAGCGATGGTGTTAAGGGTAAAAGTAAGTACTCTAGAATTGGATAAGGGAAAGGAAAAGCAATGCTTTACCATTGAAAGAACAGAGAGTATAGGTAACATGATCATAAATAGAAAAGGGGAAATCAGATTGAAGTACTCAGTCTGAAAGGTACAAGGCAAGATCATTCATACACAGTTAACAAGATGGGAGGAGACAGGGCTTAACAAGATGTAGGATGAGGCAAATAGAAAAAATTTGAAATGAGTGAACTGTAGAAGAATGATAAAGAATTAAATAGAACTCAATAAATAGTTTTCCAAGACCTAATAAGGTGATTTCTCTAATTATATTTCTAGGAATTGGAAATTTCTATTTTTAATTAGATGTTATATATATTATTTTTTCATAAGTTGAAGTTCATATATAAATTTTATAGTTGAGAAAAGAGGTTAGTTAAATATTTTGTTATCTAACTTTTGCTCACAGGAATCTTGTTGTATTGGTCTTTAAATTTTTACATATTAAAGAGGCAACTTTTCATCTTTTGGAAAATAATTTGGGAAAAGTTAAGGCCAAATTATTTTGTACAAGACTGTCAGTGCAGTGTTGAGATTTTACTTTCTATTGTATTTTCTTCCTACAACTTGGACTCACATCCGCTATAAAAACGTATAGCCTTAGTATATCAAAAAAAGAGGGGCCAGGGAGTTAGCTCAGTGCTGCTGCTGCCTGCCTCGCAAGCACAGGGTCCTGAGTTCAATCCCCAGTACCCCCCCCCCCAAAAAAGAGTCCTTTTCAGTTCAGCACTTAAGCAGTTTATCTAGACCCAAAAGAAATTGCTCTTGGTCTCATGTGTTAACCTTTTTTTTTTTATTTGTACAATTCATTTCCTCTATCACTGTTTATTGATTTTTATACTGTAAGTGCAAGTAAAAGCAGATCCTTTATGCTTTCCCCTTTCATCCATAGATTCTGTCGGCTTTTCTAACTGGATATTTTTACTTCTCTAGAAACTACAGAATACTATGTTGTATTTTTTCAGTAAATACAAAAAGGGAAAGGTAGTATGAAAATTTAGAAACATTCCATAAATTTCCCTCGTTCTTCCTGTTCAGTGAAACAGTGCATGCCATTCAGGTAGACATAAAATAAAACCGCACAAATACTGTACATTTCAGTAGCAGAAGTTCAGCTGTGTATGTTTTCCATACATACATTTGTATTTCACAATATTTTTCAGAATCCTCAGTCAGCAGCAGTTCTCCAGGATCTGGTCCCAGTTCACCAAACAATGGACCAGCTGGAAATGTTACTGAAAACGAGACTTCGGTTCTGCCTCCTGCTCCTCATGCTGAGGTAAGACCCTTATTAGTTTGGTTCTTTTAGAAATTGGCTCCGTGAGTAGCTACCTAATACAGAGTGTTATTTCTGAGTTAAAGTTGACTTAATTTTATGTTTTAAACTTATAAGAGAAATAACATGTTTATTGACCATTATAAATAGATATTAGTTATGTTTCAGTTTTATAATGCATGGGATTGAGTAAATTTGATCTTATTTATAAATAAGACAATGAAGGATGGTTAGATGATAACCAGGTGTTTGAAAAATGCTACAGGCAGACCTCATATAAAATATCCTCAGTGATCCTGAGTATACACTGCTGAATGTTTGTACAAATTAGTAATCCTGCTTGGTTATTGCTTAGTTTCATGGGAATAAACTCATAGGTAAGTAAAGGCAAGTTCATGAAAACCTCTCAGAAGAACACCTAGCAAGGTGGGTTTTCTCCATTTGACCTTAAGTGTAATGAAAAAGAAGTGAAATGCAAAGAGCTCCACTGAGCAAACATTTATTGAGTACGGACTATGTGTCAGTCATTTTGCCTGGCAGTGGACATATAAATAAAATGTGAGCTCTATCCTTGAAGAATGGCATATTAAAGGAAGTTACTTTAAAGTGACATCATTTATTGTAATCAGAGATACAAGACAAAGAGTCAGCAAGCCTTTGTACAGTTTTGATATTAGGGTAAGCAAAAGTAACGGTGTGAACATAGTGACCCTTATAGAACTTGCTATTTTGAAGTCACTCTCCATTCACTGGAAGCCTTAAATTTTCTTTCTATCATTATAGTGCCTCCATAACTATGTCTTTCTCCATGAAGGGAAAGTTGGTGTGATACCCACTTATAACTGTGACATACTTCTTGAAATTTGCAGACTCATAGTGCTTTGGGTCAATTGAGACTTACCAATTCTCTTACGCTATAGCTTTCCTGCCATGTGATTATCCAAACTCTACCAGAACATTTCTAACTATAGGGATCTCACTGTCTCCTGACACAGTTAACTTGATTTTAAACAGTTATTTTGAAGAACAGGAGTATCTTCTAGGCATTATGCCAAGATATCTATATTTGTTGCTGTATGCATCAGTTATACATACAAACACAAATGTGTGTACATATAGTAAAGCATTATACATTATAAAATTAAAATTATTAGGCCAAATTATAAGTGAAGACAGGAATACAGAAGTTACCCCAGATAAGCAAAGGACTGAAGCCAGGGAGGTCACTTGCTTTAAGGACATGAGTTTTGAGCGTTGGTTTTCAGGGCCTCATAGAGCTCAGGAGATAGAAGACAAAGCTTAGGGCTGAGCAAGGGAAATAATCTAATGAGAGACCCTCTTGACACCACGCTGGCATTGCAAAGGCCCACCTTTATGCTTCATTGCCAAGTCTCTCACCTTAGTCCCTAAACAGTCTTGATACAGAGCAGAGAGGGGGACAGATTCTCTTCCCAAGAAGTTGTAACCACAGGTTAGGCTTTGTGTGGTATTTTAGATCAGATCACATAATCTTGAACTGTTTATTTGTGGTCCTGTCTTTGTAGTTTGAAAAAGGCAAAGAAGAATCCACTCCAGATGAATATATTTTCATTTTAGATTTCAAATGTTTCCCTTAAATGAGGTTTCAAGAATTATGAGTGGCAAAGATGGATTCTCTTACTCATGATTGTCTTTCAGCTACTTGAATAATAACATTTTGAGTCTCTATATTATCTCTGGGACCTTCATCTATATTCCAGTTTCTTATTGTTTTTACACCCTTTTTTCTCTGTTTCATTATCCTTTCCAAAACATTATATCAGATGGAATAGAAACTTGACAAATATTTGTGACCAGAGACATAAATGGAATTATTGGACTATTTGTTCTAGGTATTGTCTTTGGGTTGGTGTAGTTATATCTCAATATTAGTTATCTTCAACCCTTTATTTCCAAGAAAAGAACAATTTTGGTACCAAATATTAAGAAAAAAAGCAGGTTTCCACTTCTCTGAGTTCAAATAATGTGATTCAGAAACTGCGTAAACACCTGAATATCTGGGTTCCAGTGCATCCCTGGATGTATTTTGTACCCTTGGAAAATGAAAATGACACATTGCTGCTACATTCAACAGTATATGTGTTCTTAGAGATGCAGTCAGTGCAGAAAGTTTGAGAAGACCATTTACAGTATGTTCATATTGTATTAGGTGCAGAAACAGCAATATAATATTTTGTTTGGGAACATAGAGTACTAGTGTATTTTAAAATGGCAAGATAATTTTGAACACAAAATTTAACATTATGATTACCTTTCAGGAAGGAGAAAGGGGGAAATATGATTTGATAGTTATTAAAGAATAAGATAAATATATCCCTTCTCTATTTAATAATATACATATTATATAAGTACAACATATAAGATTGACCAAGTAATACACATTGGTAAGATTGGTAATAAATGGATATAGTGAGATTTTCTCTTCAATTCAAGCCTTTTATAACCTATTAAATTAAATGGAGTATCCCAGATTGGGGAGGGGTGTAAATTAAAGAAATTTTATTATATTGTTTTAATCAGTTTTATATTCCCAAATCCTTCACTGTCACAAATTATCTGTTTAGGTGCTCTGTTTTCAGCTAATCCTTGAACATATTCTATCACTCTAGACCTTTTCTTCTACCCCATCATTAAAAAAAAAAAAAAGAAAGAAAACAAAACAGAAGGAAATGTGATTTAATGGAGTTTAAAAGGGTAGAGGTATTTCTTCAGGTCAGTGACAGGACATTCACCTCCAAAGCTGCAAAGACTAGTTCAAAAGCAAGCAGCGACTTACCTCATAATGAATTAATTGTGTGCCTGAACTATGATCCGAAAGGCCAGGTGGGCAGACCTTTATGCACTGATGGGTAGCCTCTCCGTGGCCCAGAACAAAAAATGCAACCCTGATGACTAACATGTGGTTTTCTGCTGTACTGCATTGACAGAGATCTGTAGTGTAATTCATTCTGGATAGGAGAGAGGCAGCAGAATTCAAACCAAGACTGTCAGCAAGTTAACATCCTAGCTTTGTAACACAAAATGCTTCCACCTAAACCAGAGAATGAAAACTGTCTTCAGCCAGACCTGATCAGTCATTTAGAATTTGGTATGATTTTTACAGATGTCTCCTAAGATTAATAATAAAATGTGATTTCATAGCAACAGACATTTTTTTTGCTACATATTATTTACATCATTATATGCTCAAAATTTGGTTACATACTGAATCATTTCCAAAGTAGGCTATTTTGCAAACTTTGCTGAAACAATACAGTTTTTACTTTAAAATAATATAACACTGTGTATTTGAATGAACTCCCCATTCTGTGACCTGAAATGAGAAAAACATCACCTGATTTTTACAGAGGCCATGCAAAAGAAGGCGTTCTAACCCTTTTGCTGCTTAGGAAACAGGAAAGTAAGGCTGTCTCTAAAGTTCTTCAGCCCTGAATGAACACAAGCTCTCCATCTCATAAATCACATCCTGTCTGATTCAGATAAAGGGAAGACAGAGGTTGAAGGAGAATGGACTAGTACGTTCAGACTCAGCTAGCAGCACAGTATTGTGGGAATGCATAGGTGTCCATTCCGAAGGCTGGCTGTGAACCTGGCTCCTAGACATCAGCATTGGTCAAGTTGCCATACTTTCCCTGCCCTTCAGGTTTGAGATCTCGTGAAAAGGTAGTAATACCTATGCAAACAAATTTGTTGTAAGAAATCAGTGTTTGTAAGACAGGTGAAAAATTTGTGAAGTTTGAAACAAGTTCATTTTTGTTGTTATTATCAGTGCTGACTCTTGGTAAGGAAAAATCATTAGCTTGTTTGTCTTCAAGCCAGCAGCTCTCATGTGAGAGTGAGTCTCCATCTGCTCTGGCCATTTCTGTTCCATTTCTTCTATTTCTTACATATGCTCAGTCCCACAACTCAGATTGTTGGAGCTACTTGCTTTACTCATTTGTAAACTTGGTTTGGGAGCTAAAACCTCAAGGGTTTCTATTTCCAACTCCAGTCAGAGATGTCTTTACCTATCTAGTTACTTTATTGTTAATATTGTAAGGCCTGCGGGTTCAAATATGTTTCCATGGATATCAGCACCATTACTTTAGAGTCAGTAGATTTATTTGATAGCTATTTTAACAGTAGCCAAGCTGCTGGTTTATTTCTAGTTGAACATTAGTGGCTGTCTCTACTATGCTATTTTTTAAATAATTTTTTTCCAGCAGATACAATGACTTCTTACAAAGGATTCTAATAATAAGGTTAAGTGTTCTAAAATCATCTGAAATGATTTGTCACTTATTTTGCCCCAGTCTCACATGACTCATCTGCCTGTTGTTTTATAATAGTTGTTGTGACATTTGCTGTGAACGTTATGTGCCCTTCTCAGTGGGAGTAGAGCTGTGGTTGTAGATGGCAGCAAATATAACATATTTCTTGTCCCCTTGAAAAAGAGGTTGCTATGACAAATTAATCATTTATTAAAATAATATGAGTCAATAATGTAAAGCAGGATCCTTAACAAAACATAAATGCAAAGTTTCAAAAAACCATTCAGATACAAACCCTGCCAAATGTTTTATTTATTTAAGGTCTCACGTGTGTTTTATAATAATACATTCTTGAGTGTCCAGTAAAAATGAAAACTTAGACATTTTTACTTTCTAAACAATTTTCTTTTTAGTTAAATAGAGCTTTTACTTTTGTATCAGCTGACTGAAAGAAGAGTAGAAAATAAATACAATCTTGAAAAATACTATTAAAGCCATAGGTAAACATCAAATGATTAAGGAATTTTCTTTATTTTTAACATGACTTTTCTTTTTAGATAGTCTAGATTTGTAAATTTAAGACCTTTTGAAGTTAAAGTTGACTTGTATGAACATATCTTCCTATATGCCTTCCTCATAGACATAGTTGTTACTTGGTAGACAGTCAGAGGAACTTCAGTCTTAGGCTAAAGGATCTCATGTCCAGCGAAGGTGAGTGGCTGCCTGTGCTTCACAGCCAGCCAGTGGTTTAGCTCAAGTGGAAGACAAAATTGGCAAAATTTCAGTCTATGTGTATGTATCATTTTTTCTTTTTCTGATTCTCATGCATATTGTAGTAATTTTGAACACAGAGTAAACTGAAAATTCGACATCTACTTTTCTAACAAGGTTTGTAAAATGTAGGTGATGATTTACATAGCTAATGTTTCACCAAGGCCTATCAGTTGACTTCTTTTCCCATTACAAGTAAGAAAAGCATTCATTTATCTTCCCCCTGTCATCCTCTCCTCTTTCCTTCCCTTACTTACTCCTTCCTCTTTATCCTCTTTCCCAACTTCCGTCTTCCTTGACCCCATAGGTTGTCATTCCCTCTTGTGTTTTTGACTATACGGATTCTTATAGCATATGCATTTTTCTTGCCATCCATGAATATAAGTGGATATAAATAGCATTGTGTGATCTACTTCATTTCTTTTCTTTTATCACTAACCACTGGGTGTAGGCCTCGTCATATCTTTATGGATGCTTTTGGTGCTGCTCCACTTTACTCGTCTCCAAGAGGATGTAATGGTGGCCCCCAGTCCCACCTGTCACCAGAAAAAATCCCTCAATATATACTCTTGAACATCCGGACAACTTAACGAGGCAATTTCTTGAAACTGTGATTCTCAGTTGAAAAATCTCTGGGTCATGGTGAATAGTATGTTAATTTTGGTTTATAGAACTAAATTATTTCTCAGAATTACTGTACTAATCTACATTGAGTCTTTTAATTAAAATGAACAGCTTCATAATTTCAGTGACAAAAGTTCAATCTATGTATCACCTACAAGATATTCTTCCAGTTGATGTGACAGGAAAGAGATGAAATAAAATTCTGAACGGTCTTACTAAAATGTGAGTAGACTTCCTCTACCCCAGCACCAGGCTCAATTTGTACTCTCCCTCTCAATGCCATGGTCCTAGTGAAATGCTAGTTATCTATCAAAGCCTGGCATTAAATTAACACTCTCCTGTTTGCCATCAGAGTGTTTTAACCATACTGTAACTATAGTCATACTCACAAATCATTCCAGTTTTTGTACTTTCTCGTGTAGAAAGTAGGCTGGCATGTGAATGTGTGAGATAGGAGATATCTTTGTATGCCTGCTGCCAGACACTGTCAATTTAACATGGAGGAGTTACTCATTAATTGTTTTATGAAGGTAATGTGATAGCCAACGACATATTTTGTATTTTCATTTTATTTAACTACCATAAAAGTATGCAATTATGAAAAGTTTTCAAATTAAAACCATCTTTCCCATGTTCTAAACTGTTAAATGTTGGCATTTTAGCAGTGTAGCACTAATTAAGGACTGGATCACTGTCAAAACTGCTTCCTGCAAAAATCTGGTTTTGCCTAAAATCTTATGAGCTCACCACAGTGCTAAGGTGGAATGGTCATCCAGCCTTGCAAAAATACTGGTCAGGATCCTTCATTTTCTCAGTGCGATGCTTCCCCTCACAACTTGCCTGCACTCCACAGTATAGAATACAGATCTAGGTTTTATGAAGAGACTTTGACTTGGAACACATGTACTGTTCCTACCAAAAAAACCTCTCTGAAGAAAGCTGTATTTAAGGAAGACAATTGAGGAAAATGGTTAAGTGTGATTCTAGACATTGGTAGTCTACCTAATCTCTCTTCCTGTTTGCTTATCTCTATTCAAAGGAAATACGCTAAGCAATGTTCAAATCCCTGAAGTTTCTAGGATATGATGTTACTCCAGTTAATCTCTGTGGAAAGAACCAGCTGTCCCCACAAGCATGGAGGGCACAGTGCTTAGCTTGCATCTCTAGGAACTCTCTTTACAACTTGTAGATCCTCACATCTGTAAAGTCACAGGGGCTTTCTTCATACCCAGCTCAGCTGGCTCCCCATTTCATACCATCACTACTCTCCCTAAGCCTTAGGGCCTGAGTTTCTTCCCTTTTGTTCTCCAAAGAAGCCACCATTCTTATTGTTCTTATGGTCCCCTCTCCTCTACCAGTAGCTGCAGAGTACTGTGGATTTTTGCAGCAGAACCCCACTTTCACTGCTGATGTCACTAGGAAGCAAAATTACTTTGCTCACTTTGCTCCATTTCCTTATTTACAACATAAGCTTAATGGTAGCTTGAGAGTGCATATGAAGACTAGGTTAACCTCCAAAAACTCTTTGGCACAAGGCTCGGCCCGTGTTAGGTGCTAAAAATCAGTACACCACCACAGGAGATGGAGTCACTTAATCTTAATGTGAAACTCCAGGGATCTGCAGTTTCAGCACAGGACTATCCCCAAATCCTCCCACTTTAATCAAAGCTAGTGTAAACAGCTACCATGCTGCTCCCATTATCACATCTGAGAAAAAACATATTTCTCATTTTAGTATATATGAGCTTCTGGTGATGAGGTGGGAGGATATCACAGAAATTTTGTCCTGGAAACAAAGATATCTTCTTTTGTGAGGTCTGTGTGTGTATGTGTGTGTGTGTGTCCTTTCCACAGTGTTTGTCAAATCTCAGTGCTGTGAGGAACCTGCACAATCTTGCACAAAAGATATACATTAAAATACTTAATTTTTCCACTCTTATTTTCTTTTTTATAAATACAGATAAATGAATGGACAATCCCTTTATTTGGAATTATTATCTGCTGCCAGTAAGCTCGTTAAAATATTGTTACTTCCTTAGACATTCTTTTTGGTTTTGTTCAGGTGTATGTTCTATAGTAGAATTGATGTTAAAAGCTTATTTGTATAAACAAATGTAACTGTTGTAAACAGCTCCTGAAATAAATTTGCAGTATCACACAGTGTAATTTAAAAATATTTTTCAACACTGTTCATGCTTTGACATTTAAACAACTTAAATTTTGAAATATAATTAAGTCAATGTAATGTTAACAGTTTCAATATAACTCTGGATTTTCATGCAGAAATTCCTGACATGGTCATTTAAGAAGAAACAAAATCTGAATTAGCTTGGAGTTCCAAGTTACAATGGGAAAAGGGCACATTTAACCTTCTGCTTTTATTATGTTAAGGCGAGGACTCATCTCCAAACAGACGTATGATTGAGATGATGTTTTGGAATAACATCCTGTGTTTTGGTGGTGCATCACTCTTCAGTGACATTCTGAGCTTGCATTGTATTAGCACATGATATTTTCCCCAGTTAATTGATATCCCAGGTTTGTACAGAGGAAAATCTACAGCTCCCCCAAACATGCTTGACAAGTTATTATATTTACTTTAGTCAAAGCCCGTGTGTGCAATATCCCTCTTGGAGGTGGTCTATTATTGGAGTCCCATATGCTTTTTGTTTGGGAAGAAAGCAGTCACTGTGTCATACTGTTACATGGAGTATTCTTTTTCAGGGATGTTGTTCCCTTGGGGACCATATCAGGCCAGAGTTCCTTAGTCTAATAAGACCTTTGTACTCTTATTGTATAAAAGTTCTGGGAGGGAAGCAAGAGTTAAACAGAAAATGTAATTTAAGCAACTATATTAGGCCACATGTGGGAAAACATGATTCTTCGTATTGATTTTAAAAAAGGTATTTGTTGTAAGAAGCACTGTGATGCCAAAACATTCAGAGCATTTCAGTGTAAATGAAGGCTATTGTCCTGTGGGGAACTCATAACATTTTACCATTTACTTTAGTTTCTGAATATGAATGATCTAAAAAAAACACCACACAGAGCTGTCTATTCATAAGTTTTTATATTAAAAGATGTGATTATTATGTAAGTCCTACATGATGGTGCTGAAGACTTTCTTCTTTGAACTTCCTAGCAGTAAAGTGGCATTTAACTCAAATAAACATAATGGGTATGACAGCGTATGTATATATTTGTTTCACTAGATAAAAAGAGTATATCAGAATTACCCAGTTTGCTTGTTATATTTTGCAGTAACTGATAAGCATGTTGATTATATTCCATTAAGCCAGGACTTTAAAAATGAATTTTGTAAAATTAACATAGAAGCCCTGTATTCAGATTTTGTAAATGATGGTGAAAATTTTTATTTGATTTTTAAATAACATTATAACTCTTGGATACAGAAGTCATAAAATGGAACTTAAATGTGAGGTGTAATCAAAACATGGTGAATGTTTTTTAAAAAATTATTACAATAAAAGACATACTGTCATTCATCCCCCTGAAAATATTCCCACTTTCCTTAAATATACTTATCCAATTGTTTTTGCCACTTTCTGAAGCAGTTCTGAAGGTACTCTTTTGTGAGTGTTTTTAATTGTGCTGTTTTGGCTGCCTTAATGTCCTGAATCAGTCTAAAACATTTACCTTTCATGGACATTTTAACTTTGAGGAAGAGCCAAAAGTTGCATGATGCCCAATCTGATGGATAAGGTGGATGAGAACATACCATAATGTTTTTATAACCCTGCCTTTCCATTGGATGGCACTGGGCAGCTGCAGTCACCATATTTTTAAATCACATTTTATAAAGAAACTAATGAAAGAGGACTTCCAGAGCTGTTTCACAAAGGGACAAGAAATTTCCTATGATGAATGTGATCCTTACGTATATCTAAAATGTGCCAATACAGTTAATTTTTTTTTTAAAAAGAAAGGGACAAGAAAGATGTGATAAGTGTGTTCCAATCGAGAGGAAGTTTTTTGAACAGGATTAATAGCAATTTGTCTTTTACTGTAATAATTATTTTTAATTTAAACATACTGCATTTTCTGATCAGCCCTTGTATTTTTCTTAACTACAATAATATAAAATATCTCATGGAAATTTGATTATTTTCCAGTAAAATTTGTGAGCTTGTGATATTTCAAGACCTTCTTCTAATATTTTTTTAACAGCAACTGGTTTCACAGCAACGCATTCTAATTCATGAAGATTCCATGAACCTGCTAAGTCTTTATACTTCTCCTTCTTTACCCAACATTACTTTGGGACTCCCGGCAGGGCCATCCCAGCTCAACGTAAGTCATTGCACACCCTCAGGCTAGACCAACCCAAGTCATATTTTCATACAGAAACACTCTTTCATTTCTTGTATATTTAGATTTGAGAAAATCTTGTTAGCATCAGCCTCTTTATTTGCTACTTGCCACATGGTTCAAAGATAATTCAGTTTAATTTCAAATCAGAGAATTATATTGGTTGGCATAATCATATATAAAAATAACTAGCATTTCATGATGGTATATAGCTTTTAAAAGAAACTTCCCAGGCATATTATTTTAGTAGCTCCAAATAACAGTCCTGGGAAACAGAGATTGTCCTTCACATTTTTATAAAGAGGAAACTGAGACTAAAAGAGTTTAAAAGCTGAAGATCACAGAGCCAGTAAGTGCCAGACCTGGAACACACTGCAGCCTGGTGCTGAATGTTACAGCTTGAAAACAGCAGCGCATCTTCATAGACTATGTTTTGTGAATGACTTTATTTCAGGAATTTGAGTTACTGATTCTGTGGTACTGAAGAGTACATATCTGGAAAACCTCTCTAAGAACAGCATTATTTGGGTATACCCAAGAGATTCACAGATTTAGTTAGCTTAAAAGTCCTGACAACTGAAATAGGATCTTTTACGTAATTGTCCTACTAAGAGATGATAGCAGTAATTATTTTATGTGCATTTTCTAAAAAATATAAATTTTAATTTTAAAAGACTTGTAGGCTTCACCCACAATAATCCATCTTTGAAAGGTTAGTAAGTTATACATACACAGATATCATGTGATACATTAGATTTAAAGACAAATTTGTTCCACACTTTAACACTAATTTTGCCAGTCTTTAGTAGCAAGTCCTGAACTGAGTCCAGCATATCAGATTCCTATATATTTTCAGTACATATTGAAAACTCAAAATTAAGCGACATTTTAACATAGCTGGTATTTTATTATATCTGTATTTTTAATAGAGTATAGTATTGTTTTATGTGATACTATTATCTTGTACCAGTGAGGAGAAAGCAAAATTTGGATGCTGTTTTAGACCTCGGGATTAAAGAAGGACTTAATAATTCTGAATTCAAATATGCACTTGAAATTCCACATGAAGTATTTATAAATAATTGGTTCTAGTGTAAAGAAAAAAAGAATTAGGAATGAAACAAAAATAAACCTTCACTTATTAAAAATTTTTCTTCTCTTTTTATCTCTTCCAATGATAAATACGTACTAACTCAAATACTTATTAGACATGAATAGACATTTTGTTGCCACCACTTTTTGCATGTTCTAAGGTACTCCTCCTTGCTAACTCACTCATGCACCAGATTTAATGTGGTCAGGGAAAATTTTTTCCCAAAAGACCAAGTATTAAAGCCAGACCATTCAATGTTTCAATGGTAATACAATTTGGTGCCACTAGATGAATAAACCAGTGTGGTTTGGATTAAAGCTTCAATTTTCTTTGCTTCCATTTTGGTGTGGATGAGGCCATCACAATTAATTTCTCAAGCTTAGTAGTTTTCTGGCAAAGGGATCTCTAATATTCCATTTCCCCACTGAATAGTGGGAAATTTGAAGGAAAAGAGGCCAGGACCAGCCGTCATTTCTAGATCAAACATTGCATTGACTCTGTGACTCAGACAAATCATTTACCTCTTTGTCCTTCAATTTCTCCATCACTGAAAATTGCTTTGCTTCCCTGGTGCACAGCAATTTTGAAAGATGAAACATGAGTTTTAAAAAGAAACATGCCACATAATTTTTAGGTATTAGACTTCTGCTTTTGTAATACCAAATTGACCACCATTCATTAAATGTTTGGAATAGGATAATTCATTATTGCCATTGATATTATAATTATTATTGCCTTATTACTATATTTTCATGTATTTCAAGTTCATAATAGCAGTTTTATTTGATACCTGATTTCACATGTAATTTATTATACTAAAGTATCTGGGGTGTCATTTTTAATATTTGAGATATGGAGCTCTGTTTTGAATTAATACAAAATAAACATTCAAATCAAAATTCTGATTTGCATTTATTTATTTTAAGAAATTCATTTAAAAAAATTAAATACTGGAAACAGAGAGGTCTGTAAATCTTTTAGAGGTTATGTAAAGGAAAGGTGAGTAGTTTCGTAGTTTCTTTTGCTTGAAGCTCCAGTACCTTTTTTTTTTTTTTTTTTTTTGGTACCAGGGATCAAACTCAGGTCCTTGCACTTGTGCAGCAGGCACCAAAACCACTGAGCTAAATCTCGGGGCCTCCAGTACCTGATTTAGATGATTTTGTCTTAAGTTCTATGTTATAGTCTTTAGCTATGTGAATAATTTTACCTTTCCAACATATCTTTTACTGAAGCAATATATTTTAAAATATTTAGAAGTAAGCTTCTCATTTTTAAGTCTGAAATTAGCATCATTTTTAATTGACATAAAAATTATGTTTTTATGTATATTTATACATAAAAATTATGTATGTTATGTTCATGATGCTTTGACATATGCATATTGTAAAATGACAAGCTAATTAAATGACACTTTTTTTTCATGAGAACCAGTAATTTCCATTCTATGAGTACTTTTCAAATATGATATATTGTTATTTATATTACAATAGTTGCCATGATGTACCCTAGACCTGTTGAACTTGTTTTTCCTGTCTCACTGAAATTTTGCATCTAACATAACTTTTGGTATTAAAATTTTTCAGTACATTGATACTCAATTACTAAATAACTTCCAGTGCTTCTACCTTATTTTTATTTCTCTTTTGTTAATTAAGTTAGTTTAAAATACATAGTTATCTACTTTCCTGACTCAGTCATTGGGTAGGGTGGATTTTTGCAAAACTACGGCCTAAGAAAGTGACCTAGTGATGTAGAGACTTAGTGACTCACATGGATTAAAGGGAATTAACATCTTTATTATTTCTTCACACAGGCTTCAAATTCTCTCAAAGAAAAGCAGAAGTGTGAGGCGCAGACACTCAGGCAAGGTGTTCCTCTGCCTGGGCAGTATGGAGGCAACATCCCGGCGTCTTCTAGCCATCCTCATGTGGCTTTAGAGGGAAAGCCCAACAGCAGCCACCAAGCTCTCCTGCAGCATTTATTACTGAAAGAACAAATGCGACAACAAAAGCTTCTTGTGGCCGGTAATTAATAATGACACCATTCATAGGTTCTCTTAGGACTTTTATTTTATCAGTGATCCAGTGCAGTGTCTCATTAACTCAAGAGCCTAATGAAGACTTACTCTGCTGTACAAAGGTCTCCCTGACACGTGGTACTGTGGGGAAAGGCTGTGAACCTTATTTGTTCCTCCATATCCATCGGGTGGGAGTGGGGAGCAAATGCACCTCTTTCACTCTTCATACATACCAGACTGGACTACTGATGAGTCACATGGTCAGACACATCCCTGTTCAAGACCTTGGCATTTCTGTCTCCCAGCACCCAACCTAGTGTTCTTCAGATGTTTGCCTGGCAAGTAGCTTCTTATACTTTCTTAGAATTATGTGTGAATGTGCCTGTGTATGTGCATATTATAAACACAAACACTCATACACACAAACATTTTTTTTCAGGTGGCGTTCCCTTACATCCACAGTCTCCCTTGGCAACAAAAGAGAGAATTTCGCCTGGGATTAGAGGTACCCATAAATTGCCCCGTCACAGACCCCTGAATCGAACCCAGTCTGCACCTTTGCCTCAGAGCACATTGGCTCAGTTGGTCATTCAGCAGCAACACCAGCAGTTCTTGGAGAAGCAGAAACAATACCAACAGCAGATTCACATGAACAAAGTAAGCCTTTAAGCCAAGTTAAAATATCATAGTCACTGGTTTAGAAACTGGGGTTCTTTTTACTGATATAGATATGTAAGAGAGTGTTGGTATTAGTCACAACAAAAAGATTACCATCCTAACCCAGCTATCTAGGCTCAAAGACATCCTCATAGTATCAATATTTTTATCACCATTATGTTCATGGGACATTGGTGTCAAAATTGAGATCATCATAATTTAGCAAGATATTTCATAGTTGAGTGCTAGTTTTAATACACAAACACATACAAGCACATATAAATGGGGTCCTACTTTTTGGTATTTTTACAGAAAACCCTGAGACAGTTGAATGTGATAGGTTAATAAGTCAAAAAGTTTACAAATGATAGTAAGTAGCACAAGGTTAGCCAATAAGGTATTTCTTAGCATCTTGTATGCATCTAGGTTACATTTATTGTTTAGTGTGGCCCTTTTCATTCCAAGAAGCAACTGAAGCAGTTTCTCAGAAACCTGTGACAATTTCTTTGTGGCAGACTTATTGTGGCTGAAAGGGACAGTGGATGACTGTATCATACTACATCCTTAGGTACTCCCTTGTTAAAGAAGCCACAAAGAAACAGTGATTACAGTACAGTAATATCAGAAATACCAGTAAAGCATTTTCTTTGAATTTGTAAGCAAAAGGATCATTCCCTCTCACTATGTCCCCTACAAGTATGTTGTAGAGGCATTATGTTGAAAAATTTACCCAGTTTATTTATAAAGAGATAGCTACAACTTTGCTTAATATTAAATGCTTTATTTTATTGTGATGTAGAAAACAAATAAAATAAACCCTCATGGGCAAAGGATCTTTCTTACAGCAACAGGAGAAGAGGAGGTTTTATCATGTGCTTGCTTTATTGCAAATACTGCTGGTTTTTTCCTTCTCTTTGACCATCATCATCACCAGCATAGAGCCGGGAAAGGAGTATGGGCCGAGGACCACAGAATTGAACAGAAATTCTTTCAGCCCTGCATTTTGCTGCCTTAAAAGATGGAGTGCATGTGTGGGACTGGTGCACTGGGTGGGAATGCTGGCATGAGGACTGTTCCTCCAGTTCTCTTTCACTATACCTTGCAGACTTTTTTTCTGCAATCACCACATTAATTCTTGTTTATTGTTACAGGATTTCTCCCAATTTATCAAATTAATTTGTATCAAGTCAGTCTCATAGGGACAGAACTAGCTTCCTTCCCTGACTAACAGCATCATGCTGGTTGAGTTGAATACACATATTTGCTGTATTGTGGTAGAGTTAGGTTGGTTGGCCTGTTCAAGATTTCTCAGCACGATTCAGAAATCATTAGGTACTGTTGAAAAACTGCAAGAACTCCAGTTCAAAAATGTATATGACAGAAGATATTAGGAGCCCTACTTTTTGCTTCATAACCTTTTATTCTGGAGTTGTTAGGTTTATTTACAAAGCTAATATTGGATTGTAGATAAACTTTTCTGCTACTCCTGATTCTTTCCTCCAAATATGTGGATGTATATATTCTGCTGTGAATAAATTAGGTAAATTGATCCTTTTGAAAGTAAAGTATATAAATGATTTCTGTAAATACCCTAAGAATATTTTAATATTTTGGAATTGTTTTATGACCTGGAGTTTCTGACCTGTTTCAAGCTGAGGGTATGCTAATATCAGAATTTCTCCTTTGGTATCACACTCAAAATTTTGACAGACTGATGTTAACCTCAGTCACAGGATAAAACTAAGATGAAAAGCCGGCAAGGTATTTGCATTTTAGCAATGACAAAAGCAAATCTTATCAGAAACCTTTTCCCATGTGGAGCTGATTCCTTGGAATCTGTTAAGAATTCTTCTCAAAATTAGAAGCAAACCTATACTTTAAGGTATATGTTTGTACAGTGGTTTGATTATTAAATCTTGTCTTAATCAGGCAAAATGAAGACCAGAAAACTTCAAAGTATAAAGCTGATCTTTATATGTTAACCCCTCTCAGCTTGGGTGTTTAGATTACTCAAGCAGATCTCCAGTTGGCTTTTCTCCAAGTATGTATTCCATATGTTTAATCAAGTGCCATATGTACACTGGGTATTCTCCAGATTCTGAATTACCTGCCCTCAATTGTCTAAGGAAAGAAGTAGACTCTTATTAAAGAAAATATTGACCATCTTTCCCATTTTGAAGTATTCATAATAGAGCCATTAAGAAGTGAACAGTAGCAATTCCTCTCCCTGAGGTAATGAGGATATTTATTTCACATTGAGTCAGGGACTTAAATGCCAGGAGATAAAGTCTCTCTACAATAATGTACTTATGTGTACCCTAACCATTTAGAATACTCATTAGTAAGAAATAACCACAGAAATCTATTTCTGTCATTACCTATTTATGTAATTATAATGTATGAAACTTTTAAATACACACATTCCAACAAATCATACTTTGCATCATAAAAACATGTTCTTTGCTCATAGATACATATAGCAGGAAATATAGGCACACATGAACATGCAGGTGTGGAAATAACATTATAAAATATCTTATTTTTCTCAAAAATAAGAATTTAGAGAAACAGAAAATGAAGTGAGAACAAAGAAATCAAAGTAGATTTATCTCTAAGTCAACATCATGTTAAGTGTAATTGCCCCTCCAATTATATTTATAAAATTTGCAGTGGCATGATTAAATTCTAATAATCGTTAGAAGAATTAGAAGTAAACCTATACTTTTAGGAACATAGTTGTGGCAGTGATTGACATTAGTTTTTGAACAATTGTTCACATAACTATATAATGTAAATGTCATTCAACTGTATGTTGTAAATATTACTAATCCTACCAGATGAGTTACCTACCTGTTGCCTTATACATTAATGCCAATTACATAGGATATTCGTGTATCATCTCATTAAGTCTCAAATAATTATTACTATTATCTCATAAATATGATGCAAGTGTTAAAATGTTTAGCAGGAATATATTATTATTGTTATATCTTCTAATAAATACTAGGACAAGTTAGAAAAGATAATATTGGGCTGGAGAGGAAACCTTGTCAGAATGATTTCTCTCTGCTCCTAAATATTCCATTTTCACTGAAAGTGTGTTGAAAAGTTTAATCACAAGAAAATCATGGCTCATAACTCATTCTTTTGTTTTTGTGAGACATTTTTAAAATTAAAAAATGTAACAAATAATTTCTCTTGCCAACTTATGATATTTTTGTACTATGATGAATTTCAATTTGGTAAGCCTTTTCAGAAAATGAAGTTTCTTTATGCAAACGCCAAAACTAGACTGTTGCTTTTGCCAGTATATTTTGTTTTTTAGAAAAAGAGTTTCTAAGATAGAATTTTCCCCAAAATACAAAGAGGAAACAAAAGAAGTAGAATATCAGTAATCCTCCCCTGAGCCCATTTCATGTTTCAGTATTACCGCAGGGGTTTTTTTTCCTAGTAAAAGAAAACTGTGATTGAATAAAATAAAACACACAAAGTTACTTGGCCATATTGATGATTTTAAGGGAGAATTCTAACCACTTCCTGAAAAAATAGAAGGGCAAATTTCTAGTCACATCATTATCTGAATTAGTTATGTTGAAATTTTCCAAAACATCTTCAGACATTTTTGTTGAGTACTTTGACGTAAATCTCTGCCACTTCCCCTCCATGAAAATATTATTCTTTGAATTATTTCTCCATTATATTAATAGAATAGTATTAATTTGTGCCTAACCATTTCTATTTTAGCTAGAATTTTAATATCTTTTCTAATATTTGTTTCTTGTATTCATTCCATCAAATCTACATGCGCAGAAATTTTAAGACAACTTTTCTTGTTTAGTACTTACTTGACTGAAATATAAACCTGTGTATCTATCCATTCAGAACTCATACTTTGTGCAGACACTTTTTGACACATACAACATTCTTTATGCTTCTGGAGTTTATAGTGTATGAAGCAGAGAGTAAGTAAGGTACTTAAGTACACAGTAGTGCAGTGTGTTCAGTATTAAGGTAGAGGATGTGGAAAAGGAAATTGACTTCTTTGAGGAAATAGTATTTGAGACTTGTTTAGTTACCTCTCTGGATATTTTGTATTTATTCTCTCTCAGATTCTCTTTCTCTCTCTCTTTCTCTCTCCCTTCTTTTCTTCTTTCCTCCTTTTCTTCCTTCCTTTCCTTTTTCTAATATACTCTGTGATAAATATCTTATGCATTCCTATGACTGGATATTGGCCAACTCTTTTTTAAAAAAGCACGTAAATCATGAGATGATATCTTATATATGTCAAGGTTCAGTCTAGATATAAGTATTTATTATATATTTATTACTATGAATACTTAGACATTTTGACATGAGTACTATTTTATCATAATAAAAATATATCTAAGACAAGACCAGTAAATGGGAGGCCAAGCAGATGTCCTGGGTTGCCCTTATTAAAACAGGTAAATGTTATACTCTGACAAGCACGGCAGAATATAATTATCCTCAACTGCTGGCTCTGAGCAAATGGGAAGCTTTCATAAAGTTTTTTGAAATAGAACTTGACCTTTTGTTCAACTAGTGCATGTTTTATTACTTTCTTTTAACATAATTTTTTAATGTGAATGTTACATATTCTCCATAACTCCTCATGATTCATACACATTCCCTGTTCCCAGCCATTCTTCTATAGTATCCTAGGAAAATGTATTCTTTCGTGCCTGTGGTCATATATAAATACAGCATGTTTGTGGGTCTTTTTCTTATAAAATGTTCCTGAATTTAGTTCTAATATAGAACTATTTTGTGCACTATTGAAAAAGGTAGGTATTTTGCCAAAAAGAGAAATTTGAAGAATAACAATTCTATACATGTGTATGTTCCCAAAAGTTTACATTTATCTGAAGTTACATTTCATATCAGCTCTGTTTTAATAAACATAATTCTAGCCATTGCATACTTGTGAGCATATTAAAACTTAGAGTATAATTAGATAAAGATCACTTAGCAAACTTGGC